AATTGATGCAGATTGGAACAATGTAAAGATGGACGATAATATACTTTCCAGAATATAATTTAATCATGGAGTACTTTAGCGAAATATTTTTGCTTGGAGTTGACACGATCGTATTTACTATCTGCTTGAAACAGTATATTCACTACAAGAATGCAATTAAGGCGATTAAGGTAAACAATATTAATTCATTGTTAAAGTTCTAAAACGTATTAATATAAATTGGAATATTTTAAAATATTACAGGCAATTTAAGAACTTTTATTTTTTATAGAATGTCGAGTTACACGACATTGGTCCAGATTTGGAAAATCTACTAGATAAGAGCCTGAATAACAAAGTAGATTATATCGCTATCAGAGGAGTCGTGAAACCATTAAAAGAATCATTACAAAGCGTTAATAAAAAAGATGTTACTGGAGTCATACAGAAGCTTAGTGTCAGAGAACATGTTGTGGCAAGAACATCAGCTGGTTATTGGTAGGTTATTGAATATCACAATTTTATGAAGAATTCTGTAGTTGTAATATAAATATCAATAATCTTGATAATATATTTCTTTCTAATTATCTTAATTTGTAATTCCATAGGTCTGACCAGGAACGAACAATTCAACAAGTATATAATGTCGTACCATTTGTTTTGCAAAATAGATGGTACCATGTTGAGATAACAGATCCATTGTCTGCTGATATTTTAGACTTGGATGTAATCTCTGATAATTTTCAACCTAGTGTACCTACAATTATAGATCATATATGGGGATTTTTTACGGGTAATTATATATAATAAAATCTTGTAATCAGATTAGTTCTTATTTTTATTACATAATATAGAATCATATGTACACTCTTGTAAAGAAATGTGTGTGCGTGTGTTGCGTATACATAAAGTTCTTAAATTTGAATTTATCATATGATTTATTAGGAGTACGCCAACGAGGTATACAGTCTACAGAAAAAATGTTGCGTGAAGATTCAATTATTACAGCAATAGGCGAGCTCTCGAGGTCAAAAACTGAATCTAATTATCTTACTTTGCAACTTCCATTAAATGGATCTCCTTTTTATATAACAAGCATGTCAATTACTTCTTTGATGCGAAAATTAGATGATCATAAAAAAATATACAGGTATGTACATTTTAATGTATTGGGATATTATTATACAGTATTTAATTGGAATATATTATTTATTATATTATTAAGAGTCTGAATTTATATAATTTTCTGAAATACATAGGCTATTTTGTTTGATGAGCGGCACAATTGGATTAGTACTCGGAGGAATTATGATAAGACGTTATTGGAAGAATAAACAGCAGCAAAGATTAGCAGATCAATTACGTCAATCGCTTGAAACATCTCGTCAAGAAAGGCGTCAAAGGGTCAGGGATAGGGATCTTAGAGAGGATCAAATATGTGTAATTTGCAGGACAAACGCACGTGAAATTATTTTATTACCTTGTGGTCATGTATGCATATGCGAAGATTGCTCAGTTAGCATCAATAATAATTGTCCTATTTGCAGAACACAAATTATACAAAAAGCGGCCGCATATATAGTATAAATTTCATCTTGATATGAATGCCACTTTTATATAGCAAAAATATTTTTATTGTATCAGAGTGTGAAAACGATAATTGATTAAAATAATATTATTCCTATCGTACGATCCTATCTTCTTTATATGATAGATGTGTAAGTTTTATTATTTATAAATGAAAATCTAATTTACAAAAATAATATATAAGTACATTAATTACAATAATTATAAAGAGTACAAAACTATTTTCTGATCATGTGATTTTTAATATATATGTTTAATATATATGTTTAACCTTGGATATATATATAAGTTATATTTTGTTATCAATCCTGTTTTAAAACTATGTATTATTTTTTGTTTAAAAGTATATTTATATTATAGCTACAGTTATAGTCGTTAAGAGTTACAGAAAAGATCCTTTAATCTTTAAATGAAAAAGATAGTAAAATGGTTTTTCCCAATAATAATTAAAAAAATATATATGGAAAATTTATGTTTGTAAAAATATATTTTAGGTGCACATGTTACATACTTAGACAGTTATATATTTAATTGTATAAGAATCTTAAAGATCTATATTTTGTTTCTTTTATCCGTATTCAAGTTCATTATCTTTTTAGCTTTACTAGATTTACCAATACCGAGTTTTGGCAGTCCTCTATTCAAACCTTCCAACAACATACATGCTTTACATATGTCTTGACTTGAGACAAATCCACATAAAGTACAATTTCTTCTCTCTGGCATTTTTACATTAGCTTTCACTTGTAACTGCTCACCTAGTAAATAATATTTTAGCTCATCATCCGAAAACGACCTATGTCCAATTGCAATAAATTTAAGCAGGAATAATTTGATTTCAAATGAACAACTCTTAAACGGATTTCTAATTTATATCAATAAAATTTAATGCCAAAATGTTTAAAGAAAATTATAAATAGGGGATAGAATATATTGATTGTGTCTGTAAAATGATATATCATTTATCATGAGATGGAAGCATAGTGAAACCGTTACTTTTTATAATGATTTGATAATGACGTTGCAATTTTTTGATTGACAATAATTAATTAAATGCTAAGGTTGCACTAAGATTAGAAAAATTACTTTTAAAAATAACTTATCATTATGTGTTATTTACTGAAAAAAGTAATTTGTTACTTGTAACGCATCGATATGTTAATTCGTTAGAAATATAAATTATTTTTTCAATTAAAAGTACCAATTCACTTTTCCACTCTATCACTATTATCATTGCTGCCATAAAAAATTCATAACGTTATTATCAAATCATTATTATAACAAAATAACAATAAAAAGATAATGCGTTATACAAGTATCTTCTATCCCTAATTCTATCTTGTTGTTCATCAAATAATAAACAAAGATAAAGTGATCATACACAATATGCGCTCTATCGAAGGCTAAAAAAATTTGAAAAATTATTCAGTCATGACACATTAACATGTGTCAACATAATTAGAAATGCCTCCTCTAATCGACATATTTACCTTTTATTTATTTTTAGCATTAAATTTCGGCATTTAAATTTAGCATTAAATTTAGCGTTTTTATCGATAGAAATTTTTTTAAGGACATTTAATTAATATCATTTCGAGTATTTCTGTCAAAATTCATAATTGGACGTTGACCATTTTCGGAAATTATTCACTATTTTTCTAATTTTCAGAATTTGCATAACAGATAAATATTAATACAGTAGAAAGTTAACAAAAAGATATTCTTACCTGAATGTATTATGTCTATGATAGATGACGGCCTTATTTTTTCTAAATCTTTTAAAAAGGTTCTTGCATGACCTCTATAAGCATTTGGAGCATATATACATTCTGTAGAGAAGTATACTAGATTTTTAAAATATGCATACATGACAATCTCTTTTTCATATGCATATTTTAGAGGTTTACACCGCATGATAGAATCTGCACCAGTCTATATTACATAAAAATATAAAATATCAAAAAAAATTTGTTGTAATCTTATAAACATTTTATATACAATATTCTTACAGTGATTACAGATGTACATCTTTGTAGTCGGGCAATATCACCTCTCAAGATATTCATTAGTACTGTTTCAGCGATATCATCTGCATTATGACCTGTTGCAATGCAATCTACTTTCAAAATTGCAGCCCCTCTGTCCAATGCTTGTCTTCGGAAAACACCACAAAATGTACAATTATTTTTACGGCCGATCTAAAAGATATATTTTTTTATACATGTGTTTGAAGTTATCAAAAAATATAGTTAAATCTCACACCAACTTGATTCACGAGATCGATCTACATATCTTTATGTAAGGCTTTTAATTGATAGATCCTTAAATTATTACATCTAAGTACTGAACGACAGGTTTTTAGTAAACTTTTTTAATAAACTTTAACTAGTTTAAATTTAATATTTAATAATAATATTTGATACAATTTACCTCTGCAACTATAGAATCCATTGTCCATCCATATAATTCTTTGTATGATAAAATTTTAAGTGGAATACCATAATCATCTTTATTTCGCGTCACAGTTTTCAAGCTATCATCTCTGTAACCTAAAAAGATATATTTTAAAAGAAAATTATATTTTTTGTATACAATATAAATTTTTTGTATACAATACAATATAAAGCTTCAATATAAAAATATCATTTTTATAGTTGCATTACCAGTAATTCCTTCATCAATGGATAAAAGAAACAGGTCTAATTCATATTTATATCTTTCATTCAGAGTCTTTAAGACATATGCCAGTACAGTGGAATCTTTTCCACCTGATGCTCCAATAGCAACCTTATCACCAGGCTTGAATAATTTACCATTGATGATAGTATCGTGAATCTCGGTCTCAAATGCCAAGAAAAAACATTCTTTGCACAATGTATCGCCAGTTTTTGGTCTCTAAAAATGCATACATATTTTTTTAATTTAATAATGCAATAATATAGCATTTTTTAGATCTATTTAACAAACAAGAAAGGATTGAAATGAATTGAAATGGATTCAGATTTTCAGAAATATTGATTTACGAATATTAAAATGAATGCTTTTCAATCCTGAATGCATTTTTATTCATTTATAGAAATTGCATGAAACATATCTCTATGTTTTTTAATCTAAAAATATTAGCTTTTTCTGTGCACAACACATACATTGTGAATACTGTTCAATTCAAAATTTTGAATAGAAAATGTAGTTTTTCAATCCAATTGCATCCAATTGAATCTAATTGAATCCAATTGAATCCAATTAAATCCAAAAAAGTATTCGCTATTTAAAATATGCATTTGGATAGAAAAAAAATTTCAATTCATTTCCTTTGCTAGGTAGTATAAATCTGAAAAAATAATTTACCTTTAAAATGGCATTTTTTCCACACTTTGTGGAACATTGTGGAAATGGAGGCATCTCAATTATTTTTCTTAGGCTACCAATAAATCTCGTTATAAGATAATTTCTTTAATAATGCAAGATTGCAAAAAACACGTGTTCTATACATATAGATCTTCATGAACGTAAGCACAATTAAGGTTATATAGCGATTATGCAAAATAAAATTATAATATAGTCACAAATACTAACAAAATCCACTTAAGTTTATTAATTTTTCTTGAAACATCTGATAAAAAAACAAAAAGTTTATATTATTTCTACTTTCGGGAATTAAAAGTTTTTATTACACAAGAAAAATGTTCAAGAACGCGCAATTTAATCTTCCGGCTTTTCGGGCGGTGGTCCACAGGGTTGCAGCATTTTCTCCATAAGATTGAATCTAACTCGTGCCTTGGCTTCGTTCTCAGCAATCGCAAAGAAATTTAGCAAATCGTAGTGGCCCATATATGAACTACAGGAATCCCTGTGCTGATTCACCAGCCATTCGAACTTGGTTGTGTCTGCATGTCCCGTACCGATGTACTTGGATTGTAGATGCTCCAACTGACTATGGATGTTGTAGCGTTCACCCATGTTTTCGATTTAAAGCAGACTTAAATTTCCTCGCGCGATCTCGTTCTTCTCTAATAATATTAAATATTGCATTAATAATCACACGTTTCGTCACCCGTATATCATTAAATCTTCTACCTCTTCGTTTCATAGGTTATGTTCGCTTAAGACCCAAAGTGCATTCGGGGAGCACTATTATTGTGTCATTCTATCTTTTTACATAACAACGAAGATAGAATGATAATAAACAACAAAGATAGAATGATAAAATATACTGACTCCCCGAACGCACCACTAATATACAATAGAAACAGCCACTAAGGGCATTCACTACATTGCTCAGTGAGCTCTTGTGATTAGTCTATATTTTTAGATCTAACGGAATATGTCAATCAGATGCAAGAGCTCACTGAGCGCTCAGTACACATCTACATATGTAAATATACATGTATAATCGATTTAGGCTCAATTGCACCAAAGTCATTTTGACTTTAAGCGAGTTAAAATTCTATCTGTCTCGTTTTAGCCAAAAAAATAGAAAGAATTTTAAGCTTCGCTTAAAATCAAAGTAACGTTGGTGCAACCAGGTCTTAATAATCAAGCATTTGAATTATCAAGAAATGATCAAAAATAATTTTGTCAGAAAGAGATAGAATTGAAGAGTACCAATAGAATCAAATAAAAATGATTTTTAAGGATAAAAGAGATGGACTCTTTTAAAATTTTAAGTTTTTTTAATTAAGTAGTAGTTAATAATAAACTAGTGTAATTCTACTCAAATTTGTTAGCAAATATTTATTGATATTTCAAGAATATTAATAAAAAAATAGAAACTATTATTATAAAATGAATAAAATAATATTATTGTACAATAGTAGAATTATATAGTAGTATTATGTAAAATATTATAATAGTTAAGATAGAACCTTGCAGAATCTGACTAGAAGACAGTATTTTATCAACAAAATTTTGTTGACAAAATTTTGTGAAAAATATACATTTACATTCTCTGTCTCATTCTTTTTTCTTTTCTTTTCCTCTATCTTTTGCGCTCTCTCTTTCTCTCTTTCTCTCTCTCTCTCTCTCTTTCTCTCTCTCTCTCTCTCTCTCTCTCTCTCTCTCTCTCTTTCTCTCTATCAAATTAACAAAATGTGGTAGGTCAATTTAAAATAAATTGTCTAAGCAAGACTCTTAGAATATTAACCCTTACTCTACAAGATACAATTTGATGTCTCATACAACTAGAATCTAAGGGATCACTAGAATTCGTCCATTTTTTTTTATCTATTCAGAATGATTTTAAAAAATCTTTAAAAATTCACCAACATACTTTCATCTTTCTAGAATAAATATTTGAACTTCATTTTGGAAAATAATAAAATGTAATATAATTTATAATTATCGAAAGACTCAAAGAAATTTGCACGAATAGAAAATCGTTTAATCAATATAATCAATATAATCAATTTAATCAATATAATCAATATAATCAATTTAATCAATAGTGACTCAATTTGTAAATGTAGGGTAAAGGTTAAATGTGTAAAATATATTAATGTTTATTAAAAAAAAACATAACTTAAATATTGATATAATAATATCATGTATTACAAAGGAATGTGAATGTACCTGAGAAAAATTATTTCTCTGAGAAAATATTATTATTATTTCTCAATACAATATTATATACATCTTTATCCCTGTATATCTTTAATTTAGTGTTTCAATACTTTCATTTTATGTTTTTGTTTTTCTTGTTTTATAAGGCGTTTTAATCGATTATTAGAACGTCTCAATTTAATAACAGTATTATATAGCATTCTGGCAGTTGGACTAAGACTTTTTGCAAGAGTTATATGTTTCAAATTTGATCTTCTTTGTGACCCATTTGTTATGGGAGTTGCCATTATCGTTAACTGTTCTTCTATTCTTTGCAATCGTTTTTCAAGATTATAAATTACATTTTCTTGTTGTTTTTTATTATCCTTCTGTTCACAATGTAATTGCTGTAATTGATTTTTCTCTATGGTACTTTTCTCATTAATTTTCTGTTGAACTTCAGGCACTTCAGTTTTTATTTCCATTTGTTGTTCGTCACATATTTCTAATAAAACTTGTTGTTTTGATAATTGTTTATGTACTTGTTCTTGTAAAAAGAGCGTATTTGTAACCACAGATTGAGAACCTTTATTATGCTGCTTATCTTCATTTAAAAAATATTGTAATGGCTGTTGCTGTACATTATTTTCAGTTTTAACATCAGTGCTATCATTACTATAAACAAGTAAAGAAGGAATTGCAGTATTCATTAATAAACGGTGATAATGCGGATGTGGAGAATAGTAGTCTTCTTCACGGAAATGCATATAACAAACTTTAAATTTTTGTAATTCATCTGCACACATGCTTTTCAAATGATCCAAATTTAAACTTTTTATCCACTCGAGACATCTTATTGGACTTTTTGGAAATTTGTGAGATGGAACTTTTTTTCCCGACTTGCATTGAGGGACACAACATGCTCTTCCCATTTTTTTTCTAAAAAATATTATCTATTATTACTATGGTATCCAGTATTACTACTAATCTACAATGCATTTTTTACTTCTTATTTTGTTTCTTCATTTTTTGTGAAATGAAAGTTGATGAATTTTGGACAAGACAAAAAAACATAAATGTTACGAAAAAGGAGAAAAGCAAGAGGTAAAAAGCTTATTCTACAATGTGTTTTTTGTTTTCTGTTTCTTATTTTTTATTATTATTGTACATCTTATCTTTGTGCTCTGTTTTTTGTCACCCGAAATAAAAGTTAACGAATTTCGGAAGAAACAGAAAACAATAGCAAGAAAACAATTATTAAAACGGTCGCAAAGAAGAAAGAAATGCAAGAAGTAAAAGCAAGTAGGAAACAAAGAGTACATTGAGTGCTTTCCATTTGATAATACAAATCGACACAAGCATCATTCTACCCATCTTAACATTCAGAGAGTGACAAAGATAAAATGATACTTATGTCATCGAAGGAAAGCACCTATCTTTGTCACTCTCTAAATGTCAAGAATAGAAAGACACTGGTATTATCATATCATCAAATGGAAAGCATCCATTGTAGATTAGAATAAGATTTTTTTTTTAATTTTTGAAGAAAAATGAATTAATTTTTGAAGAAAAATATAAAAAGACCCATTTTTGCTGTGCTCGGGAGAAGTAAAATAAACATTTATTTCAAGTTTTTAAGTACGCAATTTCCATGATGATATTGCTAATTAAAATTGTATCTCGTCTCTAAAAACTATAAGAAATGATGCTTATTTTACTTTTCCCGAGCACTCTTAATATTATATTTCTTAAAGCAAAGAAAAATTATGCAAATATTATTTCAAATATTATCTTATTTGATACTCGTCAAGGATCAGGTTAGACCTGTTTTCTTAATAAAAGTATCATGAGAATTATATATTCTTGCAAACCCAGAATGTCGAAATAACGGTTTCAATCTCCGTGGCGCTCAACAAGAATCAACGAGGCACGCAATAAATTCAATTGTCAATTTTGTGAATAAAAACGTAAAACTTGTTCGTTGTAAACTCAGAAGTTGGAATAACAATTGAAGTTGTTTGAACTTATAGGAAGCGTTCAGCGGAACAAGATGCTGTATTATGCGCATAATATGGCGGCCAATAAAAAATCGCCTCTAAATGTTAATGAAATCCTCACAAGTTTTTGCATTTGAAATGAGATATATATATATATATATATATATATATACATATTTGGGTTGAAGAGAGAGAGAGAGAGAGAGAGAGAGAAATGCTGAGTGCAAACTGCAAAAAATAAAAAAAACATAAATAGACTTAAGATTTTTCAATTCCTGTCAGTTGCATTTAGAGGCAAAGTACGTGGACTGGACGCCATTACTTTGCTACTGCGCATCTTCAGGAATTTACCGGATATTCATTCAAACAGAACAGAAGTCATAACATCAAAATGACATTAAAATAAATCAGAAATGACTTTTAATGTTTTTTTAATGACTTTTAACTATTTTGAAATCATTTTGACATTATTTTGCTATCATAATAATTTATTATTCTGCTTAGGCATAATCAATTTTTTAAATTTAAGATTATCTTAAGTACAGTCTTATTATGAACCAATCAGAAAATCATATTAATACATTAAAACATTACTTAACACTGTTTTAAAATAAGAACCAACTATAAATAATAGTCTAAGTGCTTATGAGAGATAGTGATATTTTTTATATCTGTTGTACTTTTCCGATATTCATTATGAGTATTGAAAATTACAGAATCGTATTCAGAACGCGTTTTTATTAATAAGAGTGTGCATAGTATAAGCAGTGGTCGCGTTCAATAGACTCAACTGTTGTAGATTAACGGAGTAGATCCGTGAGCGCTCGCTGTTATTGGTTTATTCTTTTAAATCATCCAGTAAAGTATATCCACACAAACTTGCATCGCCGCATAATCACATTTTACGTATAACTTTATAAGAGAAATGCGATTGAATAATTTTCTTTATGCATACGTTTATGCGGCTATGCAAGTTTGTGCGGAATGGCCTTCAAAGTCCTTCATTTATTTCCTTTCCATGAAATAAACTCTGATTGGTTAGATTTCTTATGCCTTATATATTATGCTTTATGTAAAAGTCTGTGTTCCTCGCTTTGTGATCTTTTACAATAAGCCATTAGTATCATCAATCAGAAATCAGAAAAAAATTGATCAATCACGGTCGTCAATTTTTAGCTTCTGACTTCTAATTTATGGCTTATTGTAGAAAACCCATTAGACTCATGCATAACGCATATAATGCATAAGGAAATCATCCAATCAAAATTGTTCTTTTCCGTGAAAGGAGGAAAGGAAAAATTTGGATTGGTTGATTCGTTTATGCACTATATGTTATGTGTTATGCAAAAAAGTGTCTGTGTCGCGGCTTTTAAGACATCGATGATTTTTTATTAGTTCATATTCAAGAAACGAAAGCGATAATAAAATACGAGTAAAATAGCTTGTTGTTTTCTCACTCTATCTCATAATCATGTTCCCCTTAATGGCGGACGCGCATGCGCGCAAGATAGGTGTCCTAAGTTTTATTAGAGAAATGCTAATATATTCTATTAACTTTGGAGCGAATATTCGATTCTAGTTTAGTCTGCCGCCATTATGCACAATAGAATACTTTATATTCTAAAAATAGATTCAG